ATATATTATCTTTAATTCCCACAACAATCTTGCAAGGTAGGTATTATATATAGAGAGAGAGAAAAAAATTAAGGTTGAAAGTGGTGGGTAATTTGCCCAAGGTCACCAATAATAGGATTTGTCTGCCAAATCCAAAGCTCATTATTTTCCATTGCTAGTATTTTTCAAAGTCTGGTTCAAGGACTGCCAGCCCTCTGATTAGCAGTCAAATGCCTTAGGCACTATGCAGGTTCCAATAATTAGTCCAAAGGACTAATGAATGGAGCATGTGAACCCCAGCCTCCACAACCCTGAGACTGGAAGAACTAGTTGGTGCCCAGCTACCACTGCTGACTGCTCTGAAAGGGATTACAATACAATGTCCTGGATAGAGTAGGGGGAAATGTGGAATAAAACTCAAAATCATAAAAAAGATCAGCCCTACTGGTCTGATAAAGACTGATAGAACCCCTCAGACTATGGCCCTTAGACGCCTTTTAAGCTAGGAACTGAATTTAAACCCTGTGACACAATGGTCAGCTACATTATAGCTGGGTCTATACGATGAACAGTGATATCAGGAGGGTATGCACTCATTAGAACAAAGAAGCATATGAGATCAAGAGCACAGGATTTGCCCAGGGATAGAGTGAGGAAGGTGGAAGGGGATGGGAAAGAGGGACAAAAGGAAGGGGTAGGTGCATGGAGGAAGTAGGAAGAATGCTATTACAATGTGGAGATTGTAGTAAATGTCACAAAACAGAATGTGTGTGGATTATTGAATGGAAACCAGTTTTCTCTGTAAACTTTCACCCAAATCAGAAAAAAAAAAAATTATTTTTTAAAAAGTAGATTCCATGGTCCTACCGTATACCTGAAGGAACTCAGATTGCACAGTGATTAAGCACTCAATTGCTACAGAACGGTTGATGGTTTGAACCCCAGTCACTCCCTGGGAGAAAGATGTGGCACTGTGCTTCCTTAAAGATTACAGTCTTGGAACCCTATGGGGCAGTTCTACTCAGTCCTATAGGGTCACCATGAGTCAGAATCGACTCCATGGCACATAGCACCACCACCACCATACATCTATAATCCCTGGTGGCATGGTGGTTAAAGCTCTCAGCTGCTAACAGAAAGGTCAGTGGTTTCAGTCTGCTCTGTGGCAGACTGCTTCCATAAAGATTTACAGCCTTGGAAACCCTATAGGGCAGTCCTACTCTGTCCTATAGGGTTGCTGTTAGTTGGAATTGACTCAACCTCAATGGGTTTTCATTGTTGTTGTTGTTGTTGTTTTTTGATTGTTGCTTGTTTGTTTACCATGTTGTTGTTGTGTGCTGTCAAGTCATCTCCGACTCATAGCGATCCCTCCTTGGGTTTCTGAGGTGGTACCGCTACAGAAGTAGACTGCCCAACCTTCCTTCTGAGGAGTGGCTGGTGGGTTTGAACTGTCAACCTTCTGGTTAGCAGTCAAGTGTCTTAGGCACCACGCCACCAGAGCTCCCTTGGGATGGGGATAGGGGATCTCTATTTTTTAAAAGATTCTCAAGGGAATATAATTTCCATTACAGATACCAATTGTACCATGTACAGTTTGGAAACATGTCTTTGACAAGTAGAGATAGTGTGTACTGATGTGAAAAATAATTGTTTTAGACATAAAAAGTGTGGAAAATACTGTTCACATGCTATTGTGGCCTACCAGGATACAAAACCACCTTTACCTGCCTGAATAATTTAACGTGTTGGCTGAAATTGTCTAAAGAAACACTTTCTAAAGAGTGTTCTTTTATCCTGGTTGCACTTTGTAATCCATCGGGAAACCTAAAAAGTACTGCTATCTACGTCCAAGCCACAGTTATTCTAATTGGTTTGGGTATCAGGAATTTTGAAAGCTCCCAGGTCATTGTAACATCCAGCCAAGGTAGAGAACCATTGTTAAAGTAGCAGTAAATAACTAACAAATAGAACATTTTCCCTTGCATTCTGTTTGCTAAATTGTTCCTTCTGGCAAAAGATTGCAGTCCTTAAAGCAATGGTCTTCAAAGTGCATGCCAGCACCAGCTGTTGTCAGCAACACCTGGGAACTTCTTAGAAATGCAAATTCTTCAGCCTCACCCTAGACCTGTTTTGGGGTGCAATAGAATCAGTTCCAACTCATTGCAACTCCATGTGAGAGAGTCTAACTGCTCCTAGGGTTTTCTTGTCTGTAAAATGTGGCAGTTGCTCCTGTAAAGAGTAAAGAGTCCTTTAGGGTGGCTATGAGTCAGAATCAAATCAATGGCAGTGGGTTTGGTTTGTTACTTTTGGAATCTTTTATGGAAACAGCTGTCCAAGGTCTTTCTACCGCAGAGCAGCTGAGTAGATTTGAACCTCCAGCCTTTCTGTTAGTAGCCAAGTGCTTAACAGTTGTTCTACCAGGGCTCCTTCTATCCTAGACTTTCTGAATCAGAAACACTTGGTTTGAAGCCCTGCAATCTGTTTTAACAAGCACTCCAGGTGATTCAATGTACATTATACATGAGAGGTGTATCACAAAAGAACAGACACCCAGCTAATTATTAGCTGTTATCTGCTGAAAAGGTTGCTTGATTCATGATATTTTGTACTATTTGGGCACCGCCTCCAGATTCTGGGTTCCACTGGGTTTCAGAGATAAATCAGTTTTCTTCCAGTAGATTCTGATCCATGTTGATCTCGTGTGTGTCAGAGCAGAACTGCTTTCCCGAGGTTTTCAGTGGCTGAATTTTTGGAAGTGGGACTCCACGCCTGTCTTCCAAGGGGCCTCTGGGTGGACTTGACCCTCCAACCTTTTGATCAGCAACAAAACATGTTAATGTTTCTACCCCAGGGACTCTGTTTCAAAGATAACAAGGTTTAAACACTGTTCTCCACTTCTGAGCTCCTCCTTTACCAAGCTCTGTTTTGCACAACGAGGAAACAAGGAGTTATTTGTCTTCCTGTTCTCTGTTGACCAACCCCATCCCCCTCCAGCTGGGAATATCGACCTTGCCCAGAGAAGGCTCTGCAACCAAAATTTGCTGAAGTCTTTTCATGCTATTTTGCTGAAGAAGAAAGAAGAAGGTTGGGTGCTTATTTTCTAAAAATTTCCTATGGTTATTTATTAGCTAAAATCACACTTATCAGTCTTGTGTTGTGTCAATTCAAATGCCTGAAGTCAGTGAACACATTTCCTGCCCATCAATGTAAATGAGGTGAAGAGAAGCACCTCCGCCATTGTCCGGTTCAACTTGGACAAGTGTGTGACTTACAGGTCTGATGGGAGTTAATGTTCTAGCATAAACCCAAACCTGTTTCCATTGAATAGATTCTAACTCATAGAGATCCAATAGGACCCAGAGTGGAATTGCCCCATAGCATTTTCAAGGTTGTAAATCTTAACGGAAGCAGACCGCCACGTCTTTCTCCCATGGAGCAGCTGGGGGTTTAAACCACCAACCTGTTGGTTAGCAGCCGAATCACTGCACCATTGAGGCTCCTTTTATCCTAGCATAGGCCAAGCCTTTTACTGTATGAAAATTTCATATAGGATGTGCAGTTTCATTTTTTTCAACCTAATGTCGTGAATGGGAGTTCTGATGGTGTAGTGCCTAAGGCAACTGACTGCTAACCAGAAGCCTGGAGGTTCAAACCCACTGGCCACTCCTCGGAAGGAAGGTTGGGCAATCTACTTCCACAGATATACCACCTCAGAAACCCAAGGAAGGGTCGCTGTGAGTCGAAGTCGACTGGAGAGCAGTGAGCAATGTCGTGAAAATCTCTACGCTGCAAAACTTTTGGATCTAGAACTATGATTGGTTATTATTTCCTATTCACTCTTAGTTTATAAGGAAGCAATTTGCCCTGCTCTAAGATAAATAAAAAGAGGAAGACACATGTAATTGGGTGAGTCCAACTTTCTGGAATCTCTCTCTAAATTGCATTTTATCCAATGAGCATGTGGAGAAGGTATTTCTCAAATCTGTTTTCCTGCTAGGCTAAGATGACTCACCATTTCTATCTTTGATTTCGCGATGAACATTTGATAAACTAAACTGCAAAGCTAAGGCTACAAGAGACTTTGTGGGGTTTAGACAGTATTTGTATTTGCAATTGAAGTAACACTGGGCTTCCCAGCTCAGAGGCCAAGACTCCGAATTCTGCTCCCATTACATTAACTTATAGTGCAGATTGAAGGAAGAGGCGTCCCAAGGGATCCCTCTTTGGCCACCTGGCACCACGTACCCTCTTTACAACTCAGACAAGGTAGGTAGAGTTACCTGTTTCGTAACTCCACATCTGGTCCCAGCCCAAAGGGACAGCCCCAGGCCCATTCAGGGACTGATCTCTGGCAGCAGAAACAGCTGACAGCAAACCTCTCCTGCCAACAGAAGGCCTTCCATGGCTGATTGAGGTGCAGTGTCAGCGACAGCTCCCTTGGGAGACATAGCAAACTGATGCAGATCAGAGACAAAGCAGGGAGAAAGGTGCTCCATTGTTGGGGTGGGGGGAGGTGATTCATCGCCAAGCTTAGCACTGAGCTACTGAAGACGTTGAGCTACTGAAGATACTCTTTGGCCCTGAGGCAAAATTTCCTCTGCCCAGCTTCAGTTTTCATCCCTGGGAACCCCTCATCAAGTCCTGTCACGCTCCCTCCTCACCCCATGCTGCCTTTGCTTAGGTTACCTGCCTCAGAATAAACTCATCAAAATAGCCCCAGGGAACAAGTCTTGAAAGCCACAGGAAGCTCAGTGAAATCTGAATTCAGATAAATAAGAAATGATTTGTTAGGTATAATTATGTCCCAAATATTGCATTGGACATACTTACACTGACAAATTACTCATTGTTATCTGAAATTCATATTTTGCTCGGTGTCCTGTATTTTTAATTGCTAAATCTGACAACCCTACCAAAGAAGTAGTCAATAGGAAAAAGCGCATGACAGGTTGTAACCCTGCTTGCTTTGCCCCCAGGTCCCCTACAGTGATGGTTTTATGGAAAGAGAAACATGCACTCACCATATCGGCACCGGTATTGACAGACTCCATTCTTCCCTCCCAGCAGTTCCAGAAAGGAATCAAAGTAGCTGTTGACAGATTCAAAGCTGCCCCGTATGTGCCGAAGGCCCCAGTCTGAATAGGATTCCTCAGCGTCAGGGCTGGTATCACTCTGAGCCAGGCCACCCCCCAGGCCGAGCCACAAAATCAAGCAGCCCATGGCCAGATTCATCCTGTGGCCAGGTAGATCAGAGGTCTCTCCTCAAACCCCAGTCAATGTCCCAGGAAGTCCAGGTACACAGCCTACCCGGCTAGATGTCAGCCAGGACTGGAAGAGGGATTATCTGGAACTCTCAATCTGTGTGTTCCCCAGAGGTGGACTTTAAACACAGCTATGGAGGTCAGGATGAGATCAGGGCAATTAGAAAGAGTGCAAAGGTTAGGCAGTGGGAGGGCCTGTCAGAAGGATGGTCAGGAAGAGAGATCACTTCATAGCACTGGAGGAGGGATGTTCACCAGCTTGTAGCAGGCAAGGGTGCTGGAGCTCAGAATTCTACCCCTACCAGCATGTTAACCTACTCATCAGTTACAAATTTGGCTCCTTCACTCAAGAGAATTCGCTCCCAGGTCCTGGCTCCACCCGTAAGCTGGCCATCCACACATGTTCTCTAGGAGACTCGGGAGTGGGTATATGTAAAAATGCAGCACAGCCCCTTCTTCACCATTACAGGAAAACCCCTCAGGATGATTGATGGGTTAACGTCATCTTTACCAGCTGTCAGGATATCATCAAAATGCTTAAGAGTGCATTCAGGAGAAGTCCAGATTTGGGACCCCAACTTCTGCCTTGGTCCCTATTTGCTTCTCAAACTCATCAATCCTCAAGTCTGACAAATGGTTAATTTGGTTAACTGATGAACTGAATCCATCCAGGTACTGGGGCATTTTTGCCTCTGATTAAGCTCTGGTGGCCTAGTGCCTAAGGCATTTGACTGCTAACCAGAAGGCTACCCACCAGCCACTCCTGGGAAGGAAGGTTGGGCAATCTACTTTCGTAGTGATACCGCCTTGGAAACCCAAGGAAGGGTCACTGTGAGTCGGATCTGACTCCATGGCAGTGAGTTTGGGTTTTTTGGTTTGGATTACAAAGGAGCCTATGGGGCAGTGGTTGAGTGCTCCCCTGCTAACTGAAATGGCGGTGATTCCAACGTGCCAGCTGCTCAGTGGAAGAAAGATATGCAGTGTGTTTCTGTAAAGATTTACAGCCTTGGAAACCCTGTGAGGCAGTTCTACTCTGTCCTATAGGGTCTCTATGAATCAGAATTGACTGGATGGTAATTGGTTCTTACAGATACTTGGCAGTATTTGAGTTACCACAACCCGTGCTCACCACGTTCTTTTTTTTAGGGGGAGATATATCTTATTGTTTGTAAAATGTACTACACGCAATATTGCAGCATGTAATTTGCTGATGTTATCATTCTAATGCTAACCCTCAAAGACAAAGATTGGATTTATGGAGATACTGATAATAAAAGGCAATAATGAGGGAAAAAAAAGTATAGAGGTATTCAACTTACATAAAAAATTACTTACAATGGAGTCATAGACCTCAGAACGGAGCCCTGTCCTAAACAGGAGACCATCTGTATACAGATTGCCCAGGAAAGAGTCTCTCAAATGTCTGTAAAACCTTATGGAGAATAATGAATTAAATTTGATCATTTTTACTAAGAAATGTTTAAGGACTCAGACTCCAGGAAGGATAGCATTTGTATAATATTTCATATGAACAACAAAATTGCCACCCATTATTCTAAACATCTACAAGGTTTCAGAAAACTTTCACTATATATATTGTT